CCCCCCTGCGCCAACAGCACCGGCAGCTGCCCACGTGAGTCATGACCCCATTGCCCCCACTGCCCTGCCCTGTCCCCAGGAGACCCTACCCAAATAGGAGCCAGGATCCCCAGCCAATTGCAGACCAGGGGTCCTATCCAAACACCAGTCCATGCACAGAAGGTCCTACCAAAACCTGCATCCATGCCTGGAGACTCTACCCAAACATTTGGATGCCTACATCATCCACTAGAAATCCTATCAAAATGATACCCCAAGGTCTTACCCAAAACCATACTCATCCCCTGCAGGCTTAACTTACAGGCTTTTACCAAAACAGCACCCTGACTCTTGAAATATATCCGTAACTGCTAACGACCCTGCCCAAGCAGTTCCCATTGAATCCAGATCCTACCCAATCACCTGGAGCCCTATCCAAATCATCCCCTGATCTCTGGTGAATTTTTCAGATATTCACCCCAAAAACGTACCCCAGTACCCAGAAGACCCTACCAAAACATGCTGACTCCACAGCCTATCATGCTCCCTCCCCACCCATCCCAAAGCAGAGACGGGGGTGGCCTGGGCAGAGGAGCACAGGGAGGACACGGCGATGCCCACAGCCCTGCTGTCCTTGCAGCGCCAGCTGTGCCCCCAGCCATGCCCCCCAGCTGCCAGGCCCTGCTGGATGCCCAGGCACTGCCCGAGCTGCCCCAGCGCAACCGGGCGCTGAGCCAGGCCTGTGCCCCCTACCAGCGCCTGTGCCCCCCCGAGGGGGCCCCCCACACCTGCACCCTGCTCAGCGCCCAGCTCTGCCAACGCCGCCTCCAGGAGTGCCGTGAGTGGGCACCCGCACCCCCCGGCTCCTCCCAGACATGGGAGACCCTACAATAACAAATGGGGTATCCCCAGGGGATGCTTGGAAGGGATGTGGGTTGCTGGGGTGACAGAGGGTGTTGGGATGGAGCAGGGAGATGGTGGAGGTGGGGGTATGATAGAATGATAAGGGATCTCTGGTGGGATGGAAGGCTGGGAGATGTATCTGGGAAGAAAATTGGAAATTTGGGGGATGGAGGTATTTGGAGCGATGAGCAAATTGGGCTGGGCTGGGACACTGAGGGGCAATGAACAATCAGCGGCGGGAGAAGTGGGCAAGGAGAGATGGGGATACTGAGTCACTGGGGGTGATACAGGGCACTCCCTGGGGTGGTACAGGGATGTTTGTTCTGGCTGATGGGGGTCTGGGGGTGCGGAAGGGAACTGGAGCGGCTTTAGGACAGCAGGGCTGTGGTGGTGACATCGGGGGAGAGTGTCCCCACATGCCATGACAGCCTGTCCCTGTAGAGACGGTGGCCGCA